CCCTGTTCTTTTGGTGTGGTGGGGGCTGCTACACGGTGAGCATGGGAAACCAAAGGGTCAGTGAGGGAGGGTAGAAGAGAAGAGTATCCTTCTCCATGTTCCCCCCAAAACAAAATCCCAAAATTCACACCAAGTACTTTCCTATCTGAGGACCACTCATTCACCAGATAATTTCATTTTTTCTTTCTTTTCTTTCTTTTTTTTTTTTAATTTTTGAGAGAGTCTTAGAATGTTACCCATGCTGGGCTCAAAAACTCCCGGGTCCCCAGCAGTCCTCCTTCCCTGGCCTCCGCAATAGCCAGGACTACAGGGGTACCTCACTGTGCTCCCAAGATGACTTTCTTCACTTAGGTTTCTACTCAGATGTCACAGTCTCATAGAAGCAGTAAACATTTCATGTTCCCTGTCTCTTCTCCCTTGGACAGTCTTGAGCCCCTTATCCATCTTTATTTTCTTTGTGTATTTCCTGGTCCTGTGTATTCATCTCCTGTCTAGGATGTCAGCTTCCTGAGGGCAGGGACTTACCCTCTTTTGCCCACTGTTATGTTTGTGCTTGGATCAATGGCTTGCATGTCATGGTCACCTAGTGTATTCAGATGATTTCTTTCACTGTTAGGAGGTTTCCTGTAGACACATCTCCCACAGAAGGGGTAGAAAGTAGAGAGGGCTTCTTAACCATTCAGCATAAGGTGGTGCCCTCTCTCTCCCCTACCATTATCTATCAGCTCACCCTACCTCACCCCATCCTCTTCAGGGAAATGTGTATTTTATACATATATTTTGTAATGTACCCTGTTTGTTACCTGTATCCCTTGCTGGAAGGCAAGGTCCCTGAAAGCTAGAGCCTGGTTTTGTTTCTGCCATATCCCAGAGCTCAGAAAAATGTCTAGCTCATGTTAGACACCTAATTAATGGATCAGTCTCTGGGCAACCTGGTAGGGGGAGGTAAAACACAGAGAGTCCCCAAACCACTCTTTGCCTGCCAGATTCCTGGTAAGAGCCGCGGTACAGAAGGTCATTCACAGGCCCAGATGCTGCCCGTGACAGGTGATGTCTACCTTGAGACGCTTCCAGGGCCACACAGAGGCAGGGTGTACACAGTTCCACATGGGGTATACACAGGAGGGCAAGGTTCTTGGGAACTGGAGTTGGCAGGCAAGATTTCATTGAAGCAAGTGGATATTGAGCTAGGACTTGACAGTTAGGTAAAATGTGTTGGGCAATAAAAGGGAGGATGGTTTTTATGTCAGCAGTGAAGACTGGGTAAGGAAAAACGTGGAGGCTGGACTGGCTTTGAGTGCCAGCACTTGGGCGCGTAGCCCAGCTCTCTGGCTCCTAGTTTTCCCCTGCAGGTCTCTAACCTTCAGAGGCTTAAGCTCTAGGCCACAGCAGGTGTTGGGGGGCTGTCAGCATCTTTGCTGTTCTGGACCCAGATATACCGAGCAAGAGTCTTGCTGTGTCTCAGCTCAGGTGCATATTGGATAGCTTCCTTTTATTCAAGGGATAGCTCCCTTTACCCTCCACCCCCAACCCCAAGTGCTGGCTTCAGATCCAAGATCTTGCACATGCTAGGGAAGTGCTCTACCACTGAGCCACATCCCTGGCAACAAGAATTACTTTCTTAAAGGCGCTTGTACTCTCAACAGTGAGTACAGTAAATACATATATACATAAATAAAAATTTGAATTGCTGTTGTATTATTTTTTCACCTTATAGTATTTTAATAGTTTGGGATTGTGAGTGATGCTTGCTGGTAAATCTTGTACTTAGCATGTTTAAGACCTGGATTCAATCCCCAACACACACACCACGCACGCACGCACGCACACTACACACACACACACACACACACACACACACAGGTTTCTATCATTCCAGATTTGTTTTGAATTATAATACTTGTATCTTTGGTGTACCTATACTGTGTCTTAATTCTTCCAGTACTGTCAAAAATTAAGTAGAAGTAACAAAGTCTATCTACTGGGATGGCAAGCACAGTAGCTGGTATTAAACCCAGCTCCTAGACAACATCAGGACCCACATGGAAGAGATTCGTACAACACCCTGGGTAAATGGCTGACGCGGTTGGGGCTAGCAGTGCACATTGTAGCTGGGAGGGATTTGAGGGGCTCTGCTCTTGTGTTCTGTACATGCCTGGAAGCCATGCATTGCCTGGAGAGTACTGAGTACTCAGTGAATATTTTTACTGAATTTGTTGAATGAGTTAACTTGCAGTTTGGAAGGGGTTTTACATCTAATTGTATATGTAGAGATGAAGTTCTCTTCTAACTTCTATGCAGTGGTTGGATCCACCTCCTCACCTGGCTTTTGTATTTGGTTGCTGCAGGAGAGGTTTGATTTTTGAGGTATAAAGAAGGTAATAGTTCTAAAGTGTATATTTGAATGAGAATTTGATCAGTGCTTCTCAGTCCTAGCTGCATGTTGGAACACTTGGGGGTGTGCTTGCTTTGGCAGCTTATATTCTAGAATTAGAACCTCTGCGGGTGGGGGACTTTAAAAGTCCCTAGCGATTTCTGTGTAATTGATCGGGAGTGCTGCCTGGGCAATAGTTTTGTGTTTGTTGTTTGGATTTTTGTTTTGTTTTTGGAAACAGTCTCGAACTTAACAGAATTTGAATCTGTATGGTTTTGAAAAGCTTTCTTTTTTTTCCTCATTCATTTGAGAATAAAGTGCTGACCCAGTGCCCCATCACCCGCAGTCCTTTCACCAACACTGTAGTATATCTCTAAACGAGCATTCTTCTGCAGACCACAGTACACCATCAACGGAAAACATCAGCATTGAGACCTTACTACCATTGACTCTGCAAGTGACATTGGTATTTATTGATATTTGTACTTCTGAATAGTGAAACAGTTCATGTTAATAATTAATTTTGATTCCATCTCACAGGGTTTGTTTGCGTTTTCTCCCCTTCCATTTTTGTAACTCCTTTTTCTCAATGGTGAGAAACCTGGCTGTTGTCATTCTTAATATATTTTTTTGTTGGTCAGTCCCTCTGTATGGCACCACCATCACCGGTTTCCTCCAGTGCGATTGTCCTCCACCCTCTGCTGGGGCTCTGACTCGGTGGAGGGATTTTGTAGAGCTCCATAAATGATGCTAATATGCCAGCTGAGGTCGGAGAAAAGTGAATGCCACACTGAAGTCAGTGACAGGGTTTTAAAGTCAGGTTTGGCAAAATAAATTCTCCCTAAGGAAATGAAATTTAAGGAGAAGACTAAATTCTACAAAGATGCATGGTATCAAAACAACAACAACAACCAAAAAACAAACCCCCCAAAAAAAAACAGGGCAAAAGTACAGCCTGTCTGCTAAAATGCTTCAAAAAATATTTGTTTTGGAAATAAAACCACTTTTAGTGAGCAAGAATTTTAGTTTCTTTTCCTGAATTACCTGTTTGTAGGAAAAGTATTTGAAAAGATTAGTTGTTTTTTAAGAATGTATCTAATTAAAAACTTTTTTTTTACATTACCTTTCAAAAAGGAACTTTTTATTTTAGCATAATTTTAGACTTAGGAAAAAAATGGCAATTTGCTTTTTTAAAGCACCAGATATTTTAGCAGGCGATATTCAGGTAGCGGCTGCTCCTTTTCTGTAGTCAGCTTTACTATAAAATGTGGAAGCCTAGTTACAGGGACGTGGAACTCCATACTTTCCTTCCACCTAAAACCAGAGAAAGCAAGTTCTTAGAGCCAAATAACAGAACCAGTGGTCAGCCTGCATTAGGTGGTCAACATCCATCTGGCCATATTTTGTAAACCCATTTGCATAAAGTGGCACCCTGCTGCAAGTGGTTTTCCTCCAAGAGCTTTATCACACCTAGACTGATGTATATATAACCTGATTCCACAGAAATCCAGCCTTAGACTTGGGGATTGTCAGATTCCCAAGATCAAGGCTAGCCTCTACAATTTAGGAAAAACCTATTTTAAAAATAAAAAGGGCTGGGAATATAGTTCAGTGGCAGAGCACCTCTGGGCTCAATCCCCCATACTGGAAAAAAAAATTTTTTTTTTTAAAGAAAATTTGTAAAACATACAACTCTTAAAAAATGTGAGCCAGGAGCCTTGGCACACACCTCTAATCCCAGTGACATGGGAGGCTGAGATAGAAGGATCTCAAGTTCAAGGTTAGTCTCAGCAACTTACTGAGACTCTGTCTCAAAGAGTAAAAAAATAGAACTAGGGTGGGATATTGGCATTGTGGCTCAGTGGTAGAGTGGTTGCCTAGCACATGGGAGCACCACATACATACATGTATATACATAAAATAAAAATATTATGCCCATCTACAACTAAAAAGAGAAGTGGGGATGTAGCTCAGTTGTAAAGCCACCCCTGAGTTTAATCCCTAGCACCAAACAAACAAACCAGATGTAGAGGAAAAATAAGGAAAGGGGAAACAATTAAATTATAATAAATACATATAGACCATAATGGAGTTAACTTATTCTGCATTATTATGAATATTTTCATAAGCCAGTTGGATGTTGTTATATCCAAATTTGATCCTTTGCTGATTAGAAATACATTAATCTGGGCGGGGGTTGTAGCTCAGTGGTAGAGTGCTCAACTCGTGTGTGGAAGGCACTGGGTTCTATCCTCAGCACCACATAAAAATAAAATAAAGGTATTGTGTCCATCTACAACTAAGAAAATATTAAGAAAAAAATACATTAATCGTGTGTGTGTGTGTGTGTGTGTGTGTGTGTGTGTGTGTGTGTGCTCATATGCATGTGTATTCTTTTGGCTAAATATTATTCAGACCACTTTAATAGACTTTATTGAAGTCAAACTTAATATTTTGTAAAAGGGATGATAAACCAAGATATGGGAATGCCTAATTGTGGTGAACTTTATGCATACTTTCAGTTTAAGTAAAATGCTATATTCTGTTCAGCCATAGAGATGAACTTTGCTACAGAAGTGGAGAGAATATAAATGTGTAACCTTCTGATGTGACTTTACTTTAACAGAGAGAAGGAGCAAGAAAGGGAAGAACAGTTAATGGAAGACAAGAAAAGGAAGAAAGAGGATAAAAAGAAAAAAGAAGCCACTCAGAAGGTGGGTTAACCAATTAAATAAGTCTCACATCTGTCCAGCTTGCAGAATAAGTGATTATCTTAGTAGCTTGGGTACCTGATGTCTTAATATTTCTACTTGAGACCTTAGTTTATTAAAAAAATAGTGAAGGAGAAAGTTCAGTTATGCAAAGTTATGCACTAATCATAAAATGGGTGTTGAACCACTGCCGCTAATCTATGAAAACAGCAGCATGGTGTTGAGGAAGGCGGGGCTGCCGGGCTCTGGACTCTTGTTATACATCCCTCTTTGTATCATAATCGAATCTTCACTATCTTAAACAAGTTTGTAGACTTGACTCTTGAAAACCTGCTGGATTGTTCCCTGGTGTTCTTTTGGTTCATCCATAAAATTATTGTTTAGATGAGTTTATCTTTTGATAATTGCATCCAGAAATGTTCCTCAAAGGACCCAGTGTGCCTGCTAGTTTGATTTAGAGCGTTCATGAATTTGAGGAATTTGCTTATAAAAAATAGAGAAATACTAGACGAAAAGAGAGGAGCAGGGCACACTGTTATATGTCTATCATCACAGTTACTCTGGAGGCCCAGGCAGAGAATCACATATTTGAGACCAGCCAGGGTAATGGTAATTTTTAAAAAATATTTTTTAGTCATAATTGGACCCATTGCATTTATTTTATTTATTTATTTTTATGTGGTGCTGAGGATCAAACCCAGTGCTTTGCATATGCTAGGCAAGTGCTCTATCACTGAGCCACAACCTCAGCCCAGCCTGGGGAACTGAATGAGACCCTGTCTCAAAATGAAAAGGACTGGGGATATAGCTCCATGATTCAGTTCCCAGTATTGAGTAGTGGAATCGGGGTGAAAAAGACAGCTGTCAGGTGTCAGTTGAAGCATTTGTGTGACAGCTATCAGACACCCTGCACACACCCCATTGGCTTCTGAGCCTGGCCCCTTGCCCTGTCTGTCCCCTGCTTTCCCCTGACTCAGCAGAGTTCCTGCTGTGTTTTGGGGGTGGTGAAGGGATTTGCTGCCAATTTACTGCCACCTGAAACACTTGGGAAGCAGGGCCTCATTGCTGTTTGCTAGTTATGGTGGCTGAGTTTAAGGAGGTGTAAATAGTTACACAGTTCAGAGGGACCTCTAGATGTAGAGAACAGTCAGGGCAATTGGACACAAGCCACCTTGAGACGTAAGGGGCACTACAGGTTTTCCCAGCATCATTAGATATGACCATTTTCCATAATTTCATTTTTTGAAGTCTTGAAATAGACAATTAGTGAGGGACCAGCATAAGAAAATTCCTGGAAATATTTTAAGAATTGGGATTCATATGACCTTGCCATATTCAACATATGAAATATAATTTTATGTTTTCTGTCTGACTTTATTTGATAAAGAACATTGATTGTTATTTGGTGCTGCAATAGATTGCTGTGCTCTTTTAAGATTTTGTCTACTTTAATTTTGTTTGTTTGTACCTAATAGAGTTGTGTTTCCTGTCACAGCTGTCAGAGTACCTGCTTCACATTTGCTTTTCCTCTTCTAAGCTTGTTAGCTTGTCTAAAATTCTGGATAAGGAATCTGAAGAGAGGAAGCCACATAAGAACCCAGAAGCTTTTTTTGGGCACACAGCCACGTTGCTCAACACTGAGGTTGCAGAGTGCACTCACACCAGTACTAGGATGTTGGTGGCATTGTCCCTGTTGATTGTGGACTCCTGCCTGGGGTCTTTCACACCCTGACACCACCATAATTGGAGAAATGTGAGATTGAGCCTCAGAGAAAACCTCCTTTCTTTCTAGGCACTCACACATTTCATCTACTAAATTGGTACAAAAATCAGATTTTGCAGTCTTTGGGGATGGATGATTATAGGCTAGACACCAGGGGCCTTGAGTAGAGGCTGTTAACAAGATGACAAATAGCATGGTTGTTTTAGTCAATGTCCATTTCATTTTCATTCGTCACATAGATAACAGTTTTCTTAAAATAAAATTATCAATATCTAGAAATGACTAAAAAATGCATCTGTAAACTTTTATAGTATATTTCACTAATGGGAAAATAATTTAAAAGAGAGTATGGATGTAATGGAAAGTGAATTGGGTTTATTTCTGCAGATGATGTTGTTTTTGCAGCTTATGCATTTGGAAAACCACTTGAGAAATTTGAAGTAGCTAATTTTGAACAATAAAAACTTAGTTATTTCTCTTAAAATGATCTAGATCAGCTGATATAGAATCTGGACTGACATAGGCTGGTTGATGGCTTTTGATAATGTTTTGTTAACTGAGCGAATGCATAATTTCATAATTAAATTCCATTTTAGCAATTCTTTTTTTTTTAAAGAGAGAATTTTTTTTTTTAATATTTATTTTTTAGTTCTCAGCAGACACAACATCTTTGTATGTGGTGTTGAGGACCAAACCCGGGCCGCACGTATGCCAGGCGAGCGCGCTTCTGCTTGAGCCACATCCCCAGCCCCTCCATTTTAGCAATAATGAGGAAAAAGCACAAAGTTTGCCTTATTGTGAAGATAAGCTAGGAGGCATAAAATGTGCTGTAGTACATAGAATCATAGAGAAGGTGCCCAAGGTTCTGTTATGTGGTCACTTGTTCGACCAGCATGTTCTTCCACATCTTTTCACTGCCTGATTCCTTGCCATATAACCATTTTTAGCATCTGTCTTCCCCTTTAGACTGGCTGGAAGTGTCTTGAAGTTTCATTCATGTTGTGTTACTAGTAACTGGGGCAGTGCCTGTGCCCTGTAGTCACTCAAATAACTAAGTGAGTGATCAAGAGTTAATGATGGGGCTGGGGTTGTGGTTAGTGGTAGAGCGATTTCCTAGAGAGAGTGAGGCACTGGGTTGGATTCTCAGCCCCACACATAAACAAACAAATAAACAAAGGTCCATTGACAACTAAAAAAGAAAAAAGAATGAATAATGGCAGGGTAGGGATGGACATCAGTGGTAGAGTGCTCTCTTAGCACGGCTGAGGCCATGGGTCCCATCCCTGGTGGTTGGAGCAGGAGGGGGCCATGAAAGATAAGTATATAATTATAAAATTAGCTTTTATTTAAAGCTAAAACTAAATTACTTTCACACAGAAATTAAATGTGAGCCTTTTCCGCTGTTCTCAATGACTGTGTCACTCTACTGTTTCCAAAGCCACCCCTGAATATACCGTGTTAAGATTTCCATTCATGAGGGAGGTGTCAAAGGAGGACTCTTCATTCATGAGGCTGATGATGCCAAAGGAGCATTGTGTGGTGTTGGCAGAACACGTGCTTTGACTATGTAGCTTTTCACTGACTAGGGACTGGCTTTTTTAACAGGACAAACATTATAAGACATATTTGACATTATTTGGTTTATTACTTAAAAAACTATCTTCAAAGTGGGGTTGTAAGAAATATTTACAATGGTTTAAAACCTAAATTGCCTTAAGGAATTGTCATGTGAATGCAAATCCATTCATTTGTGGATAAGTGAGGGTTATACAGAGGATTTTTCAATAGATTTGAGCTCTGTAGCAATTAGTACTGGAAAACATTCATTTTAAGATACTGTGTTCCATGCTGGAATTGTAGCTCAGTGGTAGAGCACTTGCCTAGCATGTGTGAGGCACCGGGTTCGATCTTCAGCACCACAAAAATATAAATAAGTAAAGTAAAGGTATTGTACCATCTACAACTAAAAATATTAAAAAAAAAAAAAAGATACTGTGTTCCACAAATTCACTGTAGAATTAGCTTATCTTCTAATTCAAGAGTATAGGAGGGCCAAGGGTTGTGGCTCAGAGGAAGGTATTGTATTTACCTACAACTAAAAGAATAAATGGTTAAAAAAAAAACCAAAAAACTAACTGATCTTTAAAAAAAAAAGAAAGAAAAGAAAGTAGGAGCATTCCAGGAAGTCCTACGAATGAATGGTTTAGCTGATTCAGAGTCTGAATCTGGGATTCAGCTGGGATTCTTTTCGAGGTGGACTGGGTTAGCTACAGAACATACCCTTCAAAGATAATCATTTTTTCATGTAACCCAGTATGATCCCCAGCCACAACTCTTCTTTTGTAAGATTATGAATTCATTTTCTAATAATGTTTATTACAGAAGTCAGTTAACCAATGCAAAAGTGTTTTAAAAGATTAACAGGTCCCCCACCACCACTACCACCAGGGATTGAACCCAGGGGCACTGAACCACTGAGCCAAATCCCAACCAAGCCCTTTTTATTTTTTACTTTTGAAACAGGGTCTTACTGAGTTGCTTAGGACCTTGATAAGTTGCTGGGATTAGCTTTGAACTTGTGATCCTTCTGCCCCAGCCTCTGAGCTGCTGGGATTATAAGCATGTGCTACTGCACCTGACAAAATTTACATATTCATTCCAACCTTATTGTTCTACATCATGCAATTTTAATAAACTTTGATAATAGCAAACATTCATTTAGCATTGGCACAGGATATCTGATCTAATCCTTAATATGGCCTTTTGTAGAGAGAGATTGTTATTATCTCCATTCAGCACATAAATGGAAAACTGAGAACGTACAGCCAGGAAAGTAGCAAGGCTTCATTTCGAATCCTGCTTTCCCACCATGATCTCTGGTGTCTTCTCATCATGGGTCCCTGAGGCTTTGCTGTTTAGATTTGAGATGAAAAGTATTTGAGTACATACTCATAGGGGAAACCTTTTATCTCTATGGCTCATTTAGTTTCTGGGCCACATTTTATTTGATTTTTCTCTAGTTATAACAGTCAGACTGGTAAAGAACATTCCCAGTTCAGGAATCGCATCATTTAAAGAGTGTGGAGTGCATTTAAAGTTTTATTTTTATTTTTAGAATTCTTCCCAGTGGTGATCATGTAAGCTGTAGCTGGTCATGTGGGCATAGTCTCAAGAAGGGTGTCTGAGTTGACTCTCAGCTGCTTTTACTGGGTTTCAACCCTGCCTGTGTACTGTGTATCTGACAACCTGAAATAACTGAGTTATCAGAATTAAAGTAGTCTTTATAGTTCTGAATTAAAAAGCAAATCTCATGTACTTGTGTCTGTTTATTTTGCAGGTCACGGAACAAAAAACCAAAGGTAAGATCTCCCCCCCGCCAACTCATTAGAATCTTTTGTTTAGATTTTGCACTGTTGACTCAGCCTTCAGTCTACTTAAAAGATGGAGGGTGTAGAGTCATTAAGGTGGGTTGTTTGCAGTCACTGAAGAGCATAATGACAAATTAAGAGAACTTGTATTAGAGTTCCTGTTTGGCTTGCCTTTTTTTTTTTTTTTTTTTTTTACAGGGATTGAATCCAGAAGCTCTCTACCACTGATCTACTACATCCTCAGCCCTTTTTATTTTTTATTTGCTGAGGCTGGCCCCAAACTTACAATCTTCCTGACTCAGCCTCCAAAGTAGCTGGGATTCCAGGAGTGCATTCTCACACCTGGCTAGAATTAAAACTTTTTAGGAGGTAAAAGAGTAAATACTGGATTTTTTAAAGTTTGAATCCTATCTCAAAATAAAAAGGGCTGAGGATTTGGCTCAGTGGTAAAGCACTTCTGAGTTCAATTCAAGTATGAGTCAGGATTTGGAACTGAACCTTTTCAAAACTTTACATGGAACAGTAACACAGAACACCAGCTCCTAATTACGGATATGAACTACAGAGGGAAGTTATGTACCTTAACTACTTTGATCTGTGGCAGCATCAAAATCATATTTCACATTAGGATATCCATATTCTCTTCTGAGCTAGAGCCTGGAATATGCTTTTTTTTTTTTTCTTCACCAAATTGTTTAATTGGGGCATTATAGTTGTATATAATGGTGGGATATGTTGTTATATATTTGTACCTGCACACAACATAACAATATAATTTGTCCAATATTATTCCCTGTATTTCCCCTTTTCCTTTCATCCTGCCTCACCCCAATCCATTTCTTCTACTGATCTTAGAATATGCTTTTTTAAACATAATTAATTTTGAATAGGTTAACCATTTGAAAATAGTGTGATATGTTGCAAACAGAAGCAGATAACCTTCAGGTCATTGTCAATAATGGTCTCCATCCTTTTTGGTTTTTGCTCTCCTTTTATTTTTGATTTTGTAGTTTTATCTGGTGATGATCACACTTTTGGTCAGTTCCCCTTAAGAATGGGGATTTAATTCCTTGAGATAGCTCTTATTGCTGCCTCCCTAAATATGTGCTTCTCAATTAGCTATGCATAGACTCATTTGTATACAGTGGTCAAAATGCACTAACTAGCTCAGGCCATGGCCAGACTTTCACAGCCTCAGGCCATAGCCCTAGCAGATGTATTTTTGAAAAGCTCTGCAGGTGACCTTAGTGCACTAGAACTACTGCCCTGGATGAAGGGAATCAGAAGTGGCTGATTACTTAGGAGAGGAGAAGGATGAGGGAGAGGTCAACGATGATGGGAGGCCCTCTAATGATTGTTTTCTCATTGTTTTATTTTGTTCTATTAGACTCTCAGTCCAAAGCATGTCACCCAGTGATGAAAGACCAATAAAGATAGTGCTAGCTTCTTAGGAAACTTTGTTATGGAAAACAAATTCTCACATAATTAGTATTACTGGAATATATTTCTCTTCAAAGAAATTTCAAAGAAGAATATAGCCTGGGATTTTATAGAGTGATTTAGAAAATAGAGAAACCATTATAAACTATATCTTAATTGGTTAGAGAGAATAGTATTTTCCCCTTGTCCATTCATCCGGTCCCCAGTCCAGGGTAGGCTTCTTTTGGGAAGTATCTTTGTAAATTACTTGATTGAAATATGAATTATACTTTATAGAAATAGTGTGTAAATATTTTTTAAACCAGCACACTGCTTAGAAAAGAACTTTTATTTATGGGAACAACAATTTAAAAAAAATAGAATTTTCCTAGACAACATAGGCTCTGTGGTTTTTGGAATGTGGTGATTTGAGTTTCTGGGCATGGCCACAAGTCTCATGCTCTTGAAGCCAGGTTCTGATTGTACTGTAGACCAGACTGTTCTGTATGATGAGTGGTATTTCTGTTGGAAAATTGAAAATCTACTAGGCATTGTTTCTCAAAACAAAGAGGGACTTTTTTTGTTTTGTTTTTAGTGCCAGGTCTGTTCTCAGACACATTTGCCTGAGTCTTAAAAATCTAACTTTCCAAGATGGGTATGGTGATGCACACCTGTAATCCCAGGGGCTTTACAGGAGGCATGAGGATCACAAATTCAAGGCTGGCCTCAGCAATTTAGTGAGGCTGTAAGCAACTTAGCAAGATCTCTCAAAATAAAAAGTGTTTAAGCACCCCTGGGTTCAATCCCTGGTACCAAAAGGAAAAAAAATTCCTTTCTATTCACTACCAAATTTTCCTTCCAGTAGGGTCTTTTTTCATGCCTACCAAAGATAGAATACAGCTTCATAGTCTCCATATTCTCCCTAACTCCAGCTCCTCAATCAGAAAACAAAGCCACATAATCCTAAAGTAATCTGAGAAGCCTGTCTTAGGTCTCCTAAGGGGTTTAGTTGTTAAAATGGAGGAGTAGACAGGAAGTAAAAATAAAAATTATTCCTGAGGTATGTTAGACTGTAAGTAGAGGGAGGTCCTGACCTTGCTGGTACTTTTTGCCCAGTTTTGAAGCCACTTCTTTGTTGGGTACTTTATCTGTCTCCTTCTTCTCTTTCCTCAGCTGATGTTTCTGGGTCCTTTCCATCTCCCCCAAGTGATATCTTCCTCAGGCAATCTTCCCTTAACTCTGAATCTACCCCTGTTTCCCCAACAGACCCTATAAGAAAAAAAGAAAAGACTGTTGGTGCCAAGTCTTGGGTTGTACAGAGGACTGAAGTAAGATTTTTCTGTATTTTGGAGAAACAGTTGGTTCATTACATGTTTTTCCTTATATCGCCCATCATTTAAAAAAAAGAAAAAGGTGGTGAGAATTCATGAGTTGGGAATAGGACAGATTTTAAGTGGTGGTCTTGTGACAGGGCTAGAGCTGGATCTGCCGTTCAGGTAGTGAAGAAGAAAAAACTCCTTTGGACATCAGCACAGATCCTCCGTGTTGGACATTAGACTTAGAATCAAAAGAGTTTCAGGAATTGATGTAATAGATCAAGATTTGATAAGTTGAAATTTAACTGGTATAAAGAGTCAGATTGGAAGTAAAAAGAGCAAATGCATTGATTTTGTAATGGAGGAATTTGAATATAAACATTTAGCCTTGTTAAAAGGTGTTAGGGTGGGCTGGGCCTGGGGCTCAGTGGTAGAGTGCGAGGTCCTGGGTGCAATCCTCAGCACCATATAAACATAATAAAATAAAGATATTGTGTCCAACTACAACCAAAACTAAAAAATTAAAATTAAAAAAAAAAAGGTGTGGGGCTGGGGATGTGGCTCAAGTGGTAGCGTGCTTGCTTGGCATGCGTGCGGCCCAGGTTCGATCCTCAGCACCACATACAAACGGAGATGTTGTGTCCGCAGAGAACTAAGAAAAAAAAAATGAATATTAAAAAATTCTCTCTCTCTCTCTCTCTCTCTCTCTCTCTCTCTCTCTCTAAAAAAAAAAAAAGTGTTTGGGTGATGGCTGGCTTTCTGAAATGACTGGTTTATGAAAGCTAGCATGACCTTAGAGATATTTGTGTATCTGTAGTGTCCAAGAAGTAAATTACTATTTCTGTAGTGGGCACCACAATATGAAATGGGACAGAGATGGTCCTCTCTGGACTCTGTGAAGTTCATTCTAGGCTGGTCAAGGAATTGGTCATTTCAGGAAGATTTAAGCACCTGGGGTTGTTTAGCTCCCAGGAGAAGGCTTCCCGTTTGGGAAATCTCAGGTATTGTCTTCAAAGATCTAAAGGGTTCTGGTGCTTGGCATTTCACATTTCCTTAGTAAATATCTGTCATGTGTTTTATTCAGATTTATTCTGAGTCCAAAAGTACCAATGATGAGTCAAAGCAATGGGAAAAATCTTCTACTCAGTATAAGCTAAATAACAGTGAATGTATTTAGTGTAAGCAACACTGGGTGATAGTATGGTTCAAAGCAATAATTCATAACCTTGCCTCTTTACTCCACTGGTACACATCTGGAGCACAGCACTTTCCACCAGCAGCTGGGGCTATGGTATTGCAGTACATTGGCTATAACTCTTGTTTTTCTTCTGAGCTTGTAGAAGGCCTGTTAGAGTGAGTGCATAGTGGTTGCTGGAATAACACTGAGTCTATTTTAATTATTAATGGCAGAATGGTCCTTCTCTCTTAAATTATACACTACTTGTAGCAACCTTCATACTGTGTAGAGATACCTGTATGTTCTAATATGGTTGAAAGAGAGAACTGGCTGACCCTAAGAGAGTGAATGAATGTGACTCAAATAAGCAGGCACAAAAATAGTGCAGATGGGAGATAATGAAAGCTTCACTTGATTATGAGTAGTGATAGTAGACAAGAAGAAAGGAATTGGAGAGACACTATAGTTAAACTCCAGATTGATGGATGGTGGTGTGTGTTTTGGAGCAGGGGCAGAGTGAGGAGTCTCAGATACCTGCCAAGGTGCTAATTTGGTTGCAACATTTGGGTGGTGATTTCATTCGTTATGATAGGAGATAATGGGATTTAGAACCAGGGAACTAAGAAGAAGGGGAAGGGCAAAAGAGATCTGAGCTGGAGATAGTGATTTGTGAGACATTTACACAAATCATATTTAACACCTCAGCATGAGAGAATGTGTCACATGCTCAGGAAGCGTCAGTGTGGGAAGAGTGCAAGCCCCACCTTCACATTAATTTATTATTATTATTTTTGCCTTTGTTCCATTCATTTGTACATTTATTTTTTGGTGTTGGGAATTGAACCCAGAGCCTCTATACCACTGACATCTGCCTCCACCCCCTCTGTCTCTAACTCACAGTCTTTCTGCCTAGGCCTTTAGAATAGCTGGGACTATAGGCATTGCCAGCATACCCAGCTTGATTTTTCTTTGTTGTTGTTTTTTTTTAAGGCACAACTTCAGCTGCCATTTTATAATTATGATTAAGAGAATAGTTAAAAGTAAGGGTTGCCAACCATGCATCTGACTTGCTGCCTATTTTTGTACTTCTCATGAGCTAAAAATTATTATGTTTTTAGGTTATGGGGGAAAAAAGAATAATCATATATCATGATATGTAAAAATGTTATCAATTGATATTTCACTGTCCATAAGAAAAGTTTTACTGGAACCCAACCACACTTTGTTTACGCATTGTCTTTGGTTCTTTCAAATGCAGAGTTGGGCTATTAACAATGAAGACCTTAAGGGCCAAGAAAGCCTAAATATTTGCTATCCAGCCCTTTACAAAATGTTTGCTGACCCCTAATCTAGAGTTTGAGAAACCCACAAAGAAAAGGGAAGAGCTAAAGAGCTAGCAGGTGTAGGTCACAAAAACAGAGCAGGAGGAGTGACCAGCAGGGTCAGAAGCTGTGGATGAGTTGAAGACCAAAAAGTCCATGAGTGCCACTAGTGCACTGAAGACCATGAGTGACTTAAGAGGAGGGAAATGTTGGGGACAGAAACCAGGGTGAGGAATGAGGGGGAGGGAAGAAGTGCTTGGGGGTTACTGCAAGTTGCTCAGTTTTCATCAGCTACTCACTGTGGGTCACTAGGCCATGTGATTTTAAATTGTTAGCCAGAAATAATATCTGGGTTTGATTTATATTTTAACTACTACCTTAAAAGCATTTCTAGGTACTATTAAAATGTTTGATTCTATCAAGATTGTTAAAGGAAATTGTGGTTTATATTGGTCCTGTGCAGTTGGGTTTGTTATATACATATACTTTTTAAAAATTCAGAAACTGGCCTGAATGCTTTCTTCTGAGAAAGTAGCATCTCATTGGTATTTGCAGAAATATAGGTAATTATAACTTCAAACTATAAGATATGAGAAAGGTATAAAATAAAAGGATTGGGAAAGGGGAAAGACTGAGTCATTGAAGCATGTAAATGATTTTTAAAAATAGATTGAGTGGAAATTAGAAAATAGGATACCCAGCATTTTTTTTTTTTCCTCTAGTGTCTCTGTAACACAGAGACCATGTTTAAAGTCACAGACTTTTTCTTTGGAAAATGAGAAACTACGGTCTTATTTTAAGCAGTTCACCTTCAGAAATATGTATGCTACAACCTACATATCATCAAGATTCAGAAAAGAACGGGCCCAAAAGGTGACACATTCAGACTTTTTGCGAATTTTCCTCCCAGTTGTCATTTGATGTTCTGGAGCATTTCAGGGTACCCACATGGATTCCTGTGCCTTCATTTTGTACTTGGGGCATCTTGTTGGGTCTGACTTTCTGCCTAGCAGGTGGATCACTGTGCAATTAATGTCAAGGAATTTTGATGGTCCTTGAAATGCCTTCAGGTCTTGAATTCAAAGGGAAATGTGATAAAAGAAATAGAATAAGAATCCATTCCAATCCTGAAGCACAGTTCACTCAGACTTGCATGGTCCTATAGGCTTTTTCTGATTGTGTTCTAGAGTTTCGATTGACTGATCTTCCAAGACAGTTCCATATTAGAGGAAAAGTAGTTGAGTTGTGTTTCTGCTTTTAAATGACTTTATCATTAATAGTTCTTCCAGTCTCTGATCTGATAGTGGGAAAGTACCCTTGAGGAGTTTGGGCACTTCCATAATATTTGTTGTCCACCAGATTTCTTAGATTGGCTTTAGTCAAACTGGTGTTCTCAGTCATTTAAAACTGTTCTGTCTTTGTTTTATTCCTTTTTAGGAAATGAGTTCAGGCATATAGCCTGCCTGGCTGACTTAAAGTGAAGATTGTAGCCCCTTTAGAAGGGCAGCCACACAGAAGCATAGCTTCTTCCATCCTAACAACCAGTTAGAAAGAACCTTCTCTCCCTTTGCTTATTACCATAAAAGAAAAGTGGATGGTAATGCCATGCGGAATCTTTCAGAAACAGAAAAGAAATCATAATCTTTTTTTACTCATTTGTCAATTATTTACCTATCAGCTTTTGTAGGTCCTGAAGAGGGTAATATATTAATATTAACATTGATTGATTTTTTTACCCCCTCTCTCTACCCCTCTCCCCACCTCCCTCTTTCCCTCCCTCTTTCCTTGCTTCCTTGTATGGTACTAGTGATAAAACCCAGAGCCTCATGCTTGTCCTGCAAGTGCTCTACCACCAAACTACATCCCCAGACCTGATTGGTTTATTTTCTTAATATAGGTCCTCTGCCCACCCCCTACTCTCTTCCTTACTGGAAGGCCAGACTGCCTTTGATTGGCTAAGGGTAGACATAGGGGTTGCCTGAAACTTACTTCTCCTGTCACTCATAGTATTTTCTGATGTTCAGTAGTGAGATATTGGGCCCCTGATTTCTGATGATGTCTGTCTCTCCTCATAACGGATCCAGTTAAATGGCAACATGCTGGCCCAGCATCATTTCAGCAGTAAAAGCAGTACTGCCACCAGAGCTGGCCCCAATATTATTCTGAGTGGCGGGGATTTATTTAGGCCTCAGATTATTCCTGGTGGTTATTTCTGAAACACTGCCAGGCACTATTCTCCAGGCAGAGCAGTGGTCTTTTGCTAGAATGAAGAAGGAGGTGCAGATCTAGGAGAACCTCTGTAGGGCTGCGGGGAATGAGGGCTAAAGAATCCCTCATACAGCTTCATGGCTGCCCTGTATGTTCCCATGCTGTTTACCATTTTAAAAATTAAAGTAAAAATTAAATTATTTAAAGCAAATAGGGAAAATATCTACATATTAAAATTTCTAAATTCATTCAAGAACTAGGGGTGAAAACATCACATCTTTGGGGTGGGGGGGGGAAGCTATGAGATTATATAAGTTTCTGATTTTTACATAGAAGGCCAAGCAGGCATTTGAGTTCAGGTGACTATAGGAACCAAAGCCAAGTCAAGTTATGTGACTGTTCAGCCCTGAGGTTCCCCGGTGGCTTCTACTCCTTGTCAGGCCCATGAATGTTGATCCCTCGCTTGAGGGATTAGTGATCAGTGAGGGAGAGGGACCTATAAATGGTGGATTTCAACATAATCTGGTAAATTTTGTGGTGGGGAAAGATGGACAGTGTGTTCCAAGAGCACAGATGAATGTGTTTAAGCACTTCACCTGGGTATTGTAGGAAGGGAGCACAAAGGACAATCTTTTTCTTCCTTCCTCCCTCCTTCTTTCGATCCCCCCCTCCCCTTCTTCCTTCCTTTCACTGTACTCTAGGGATTGAACCCAGGGCCTTGCCCATGCTAGCACTCTACCACACAGTCATATCCCCAGCACCACCCCTCCATGGCTTTTTAAAAAATGTATTTATTTTTAGACAGGGTTTTGTTTGGTTACCAACACTGGTCATGAACTTGTGATCCTCCTGCCTCAGCCCCCCAAGTAGCTGGGACTATAGACCTGCACTACTGTATCCAAGACAAAGGTCAATCTTTTATGAAAATGAATGAAGAAGAGGGAAATTTCGACTTTGAGGCTGATCCTTTTACCAAGGACTTTGCTGTGGACAACCTTGCTAGTCAGCCCTTTCAGGAATTAATTCCATCATTGATTTGGAGGAGTGAGTGATAGTTGCTTTCCTTCTCCCCCTTCATTGATGGAATGTCATTCCTTGATGTCGCTGTCTTTTAATCCTTGTCACCATCATCCACCACATCCCCTGTACCCTCGGTAAATTGAAGATGGTGGCAAGAATTTGTGAAAACTATGTCCCTCAAGAGTACAGTGAAAAGAGAAGAGTTGCCTTGTTAGAATCGATCTCGTGTAACTTTTCTTAAAAATAAAAAAGTTCATTTGATTTCAAAGACTTTCCCAACCCCTTTCTTTCAGTGCCCGAAGTGACGAAACCAAGTTTAAGCCAACCAACGGCCGCCAGCCCAATTGGCAGCTCTCCATCGCCACCAGTCAATGGTGGCAACAATGCCAAAAGGGTGGCAGTGCCGAACGGACAACCGCCAAGCGCCGCCCGCTACATGCCTCGGGAGGTGCCGCCGCGATTCCGTTGCCAGCAGGACCACAAAGTGTTACTAAAACGTGGGCAGCCCCCTCCACCGTCCTGCATGCTGGGGGGTGGGGCAGGGCCTCCTCCCTGCACAGCACCTGGAGCAAACCCAAACAACGCACAAGTGACAGGAGCGCTGCTGCAGAGTGAGAGTGGGACTGCGCCAGGTGAGCCCGCGTCGGGAGGGGTGCCTTGCAGCCTCCCAGAGTGCGCTTTGTTTGAGGGACTTGGTGTGAAAGAACAGTTAATGATGTAGACACTTGGGATTATTCAGAAGATGAAAAAGGATCCCAGAGTAAAATGGTATATGAGCAGCGCACTAGGTTTGATCCTTAGCATCACCACCCCCCCCCCAAAAAAAATCAAGGATACAGCTACTAAAAAAAAAATTTTTTTAATGTGCAAAAACGCATAACCTCTATAAGACCTCTGAAAAATCATTGAAGACAGGACAATGAGAGACTGCCTGAAAGAATCAGTGGCCTAGAATAGAGTGAATTCTAAGGTGATATGGACATAGAACCGAACTGAGAGAAAGGGAAAAAAAAAGAGGATAGATTTAAAAGAGTAAAGAAAAGGAAAATAACAAATGAATTATCAAAAAGAAAAGTTGCATTCAAATGACCAAACAGCTGTAGTCAAAATAAAATTTGACAGAATTTCAAATACATACTAAGACTATGAGAAGTAAAATTCTAGATATTGCAACTTTGTGTTTAACATGTTCACATATATATTACCGTTTTCCTAATTGTAATGATCTTCAAGAGTGTTAATAAATAATTTCCAATTTAAAAAAAAGTACATGGGCAGTTCTCCAAAAGTGGGCTTTAGTATCCTGTAAGTGTGCTCTGCCAGAGACTCAGTGTGTCTTGGGCCCTTTGTCTCCTCAGACAAGAGCCTTACGAGCACATGTTCAGGGAAGAATTGAAGGTGAGGCTGCAGGGCGGCTCGTTCTGCCAGAATGCCAGGAGGAGAGAGAGAGAATGACCTCTGGGATTATGATATAGAATCCTGGAGGGGGTGGGGGGCACCAAATAATGCCATTCTATAATTATTTACCAAATTCTTTAATATCATTGTTTCTTTCAAGGATGTTGAATTTTGAACTTTGTTATACACTCTAAAGAAGACAAGTTTTAAGAGTTTTTAATAGTTGAATACTTAGTCAACCAACAGCTAAAAATTTATAGGTTCCTTTTTTTTTAAAGCTTATTAACAGATTTCAACCATCTAATATTTTTTTCATATTAATTTCAACCATCTTTTGAGGTTGTATTAAAATTCAGAGCTCAAACACTATTAAGGCCAGTGTGTATTTGACACTAAAAGGATGCTTTATTTGAGTTCTAAGTTTGAACAATGAATTTCCTAGAAAATTCTGTCAATACCTCTTGTAAAAAATAAGGACAGGAACAAACCTAGTGGTGACTCAGTCTTCATGCAGAAGTAGCTCTACCCATGAGGCTTCCTGTGGTGGCTTCAGGCCAGTCCTAGATGAATAGGGAAGATCCTCATGGCCCCTCCTTCCTGGCTCCAGGAACCAGTTGCAAAGGAAGACATGTGAGGAGATGGTCCTCTGTGTTTCCACTCCCTGTGTAGCCAAGGTTCAGAAACAAAGGTGCAGTGTGAGTCAGAATCTCTTTTGTCTACACACAAAATCAAAGACTTCCCTACATCTCAAGAGCTTGAGATTCTTTGTTCCCTTACTTCTATACAGTTCTATGTAGTGCTTTTTTGAACTTCATATTGATTTAAAGCTCCCTGATTAAAAGAATTAAAAGTAACTTGAAATTTTCTCATTAAAAACATGTCACATTTTACCACCTAATATGGTAAATGCCATCAAAGTATGTTCTGCTGGGCTGATATGTCAGAATAAGATTTCTGTCTGATCTGTAGTCACCTGCTCTAGCAACAATTCATAGGTGCTCGTTCACCTCAGCAGGTGCTCACTGAGCAGCCCCACACTAGCCTTGTGGGGAACACACCAGCAAGATAGGGGCTCTGACAGGGACACACGTTACAGAGAAGGGAAGATGTAAATATGGTGCTACAGCACTGGACAAATGAGACAGGGAAAGGTTATTTTCAGCTTTTGAGCTCAAAAACAGCTTCATAGAAGAAATGGCATTTGAACCAAGCCCAGAAAGATGAGTGAATTCAGGAGGAAAAAACAGTTGGTGCCAAGGTGAGAAGACACTATTGAGGAATGTAGATACTTGCATAGGAAGTCATTGAAGATAAGACTAGAAAGATTGGTTGGCCCTGGGTCATAGAGCATCTTGATCAAAACCCCAAGCCAAGGAATTTAGCTTTGTTCTTGAGCATTAAGGAACTGTGGAAGGCTCTGAGATAGCAGTGATTGATAGACTCACAGGTGTGTTTTAGGAAAGACAACTCCAGTTGGGAGTATAGAGTAGATTGGAGATGTGGGGCAAGTTTAGGGTGCTGTTGCATGTATCTCAAGATACAAGAAGGTCCTTCTCTGCTGTTAGAAATGACAGGGAGCTAGCTTTGAGAGATGGTGTGGAGTTAGATTTAGCAGATACAGCATCAAGCAGATGAAAGATAAGTAATGACTCAGACAGGTGTGATGCCATCAGCCAAGACAAGCATCTGGACAGAGAAGCCAGTCTGTGGGGAGATGAAATGAACTCTCATAGGGGCAGTTTGAGCTCTAGGTATTACTGATGATAATGCATGTGCAGCTGTGATTGATGAGATCATGTCTTTTCCAGAGTCAACCCTTGGAGGTGCTGCTGCTTCAAATTATGCAAATTCCACTTGGGGCCCGGGAGCCTCCTCCAACAACGGCGCCTCCCCCAACCCAATTCACATCTGGGACAAGGTGATTGTAGACGGGTCTGACATGGAAGAGTGGCCTTGCATTGCCAGCAAAGACACTGAATCTTCATCCGAAAACACCACCGATAACAACAGTGCCTCGAACCCTGGCTCTGAGAAGAGCACTCTGCCAGGAAGCACCACTAGTAACAAAGGCAAAGGGAGCCAGTGCCAGTCTGCAAGTTCTGGGAACGAATGTAATCTTGGGGTCTGGAAATCTGACCCTAAGGCTAAATCTATTCAATCTTCCAACTCTACTACAGAGAGCAACAGTGGACTAGGAAATTGGAGGAATGTGAGTGGTCAGGACAGAATCGGACCTGGCTCTGGCTTCAGCAACTTTAACCCAAATAGCAACCCATCTGCCTGGCCAGCACTGGTCCAAGAAGGAACTTCTAGGAAAGGGGCATTGGAAACAGATAATAGTAATTCCAGTGCACAGGCTAGCACAGTAGGTCAGGCATCCAGGGAACAGCAGTCAAAGATGGAAAATGCGGGTGTTAATTTTGTTGTCTCTGGCAGAGAACAGGCTCAAATTCATAACACTGATGGACCAAAAAATGGAAACACTAACTCCTTGAACTTAAGTTCACCAAACCCCATGGAGAATAAGGGAATGCCCTTTGGAATGGGCTTGGGGAACACCTCCAGGAGCACTGATGCCCCTTCACAAAGCACTGGAGATCGAAAGACTGGGAGCGTTGGATCTTGGGGTGCAGCTAGGGGGCCTTCTGGAACTGACACAGTCTCTGGACAAAGCAATTCTGGAAACAATGGGAACAATGGAAAAGATAGAGAGGACTCCTGGAAAGGAGCTTCTGTTCAGAAATCAACTGGGTCAAAAAATGACTCTTGGGACAACAATAACAGGTCTACGGGTGGGTCCTGGAACTTTGGCCCTCAGGACTCTAATGACAACAAATGGGGTGAAGGGAACAAAATGACATCTGGGGTCTCTCAGGGAGAATGGAAACAGCCGACTGGGTCTGATGAGTTGAAAATTGGAGAATGGAGTGGTCCAAACCAACCAAATTCTAGCACTGGAGCATGGGACAATCAAAAGGGCCACCCCCTCCCTGAAAACCAAGGCAATGCCCAGGCTCCCTGTTGGGGAAGATCTTCCAGCTCCACAGGAAGTGAAGTTGGAGGTCAAAGCACTGGAAGCAACCACAAAGCAGGAAGTAGTGACAGTCATAATTCTGGCCGTCGGTCATACAGGCCCACACATCCTGATTGCCAGGCTGTCTTGCAGACTCTTTTGAGCCGAACTGATTTGGATCCCAGGGTGCTGTCAAACACTGGCTGGGGCCAAACTCAAATTAAGCAGGACACCGTGTGGGATATTGAAGAGGTGCCGAGGCCTGAGGGGAAGTCTGACAAAGGAACTGAGGGGTGGGAGAGCGCTGCCACACAGACCAAGAACTCAGGGGGCTGGGGAGATGCACCCAGCCAAAGCAATCAAATGAAGTCTGGATGGGGGGAGCTCTCAGCCTCAACAGAGTGGAAAGACCCCAAGAACACAGGAGGCTGGAATGACTATAAGAACAACAATTCTTCCAACTGGGGAGGAGGACGACCAGATGAAAAGACACCTTCCTCCTGGAATGAGAATTCCAGCAAGGATCAGGGGTGGGGAGGTGGACGCCAGCCTAATCAAGGATGGACTTCTGGGAAGAATGGTTGGGGAGAGGAAGTTGATCCAGCAAAAAACAGCAACTGGGAAAGTTCTACAAGTAAGCCTGTGTCTGGGTGGGGTGAAGGAGGGCAGAACGAAATTGGAACTTGGGGTAACGGTGGGAATGCAAGCCTAACTTCAAAAGGTGGGTGGGAAGATTGCAAAAGGTCCCCCGCATGGAATGAGGCAGGCAGGCAGCCCAGTTCCTGGAATAAACAGCACCAACAGCCACAGCAGCCACAGCAGCCACCGCCACCACAACCAGAGGCTTCTGGCTCATGGGGTGGCCCACCCCCACCACCTCCAGGCAGTGCTCGGCCTTCCAATTCCAACTGGAGCAGCGGGCCCCAGCCTGTGACTCCTAAGGATGAGGAACCCAGTGGTTGGGAAGAGCCATCCCCACAGTCAATTAGTCGGAAAATGGACATCGATGACGGCACTTCAGCATGGGGAGACCCTAGCAGTTACAACTACAAGAATGTGAACCTGTGGGATAAGAATTCCCAAGGGGGCCCAGCACCTCGAGAACCGAACCTGCCCACCCCGATGACTGGAAAATCAGCATCTGGTAAGCAACGGCTTTTTCTCGTAAGTTTGATTGAGAAACGAAAGCCTAGACCAAGGCATTTTAGTTAAAGTTTATTTGTTCAACTTGACTTCACTCTGAGAGTCTTTCCTGCAGCTTCTACTTTGTTGCTAGAGAACCTGTCTTTTTTTCCCCCCTTAATATATTTTTTAATTTGTTCTAATTAGTTATATGTGACAGTAGAATGCATTTTGACATATCATAAATAAATGGAGTATAATCTCTTATTCATCTGGTTTTACATGATATAGAGTTACACAGGTGATGTAATCCTATATGCACATAGGGTAATAATGTCCGATTCATTCTACTATCAATCCTATTCCCATCCTTCCACTCCCTTCATTCCCCTCTGTTTAATCCAAAATACCACTGTCCTCCCACCTTTTATTGTGAATTAACATCTGCATATCAGAGAAAACATTCAGCCTTTGGTTCTTTGGAATTGTCTTATTTTGCTTAGTATAAAATTCTCCATTTCATCCATTTACCACCAAATGCCATAATTTTATTCTTCTTTAAGGCTAATATTCCATTGTGTATATATACCTCAGTTTCTTTATTCATTCATCTGTTGAAGAGCACCTAGGTTGGTTCCATAGTTTAGCTGTTGTGAATTGAGCTGCTATGAACATTGAAGTGACTGTGTCACTGTAGTATGCTGATTTTAAGTCCTTTGGGTATAAACCTAGACGTAGGATGACTGGGTCAAATGGTGGTTCCATTTCAAGTTTTTTTAGGAATCTCCATACTGCTTTCAATTTGCAGTCCCATCAGCAATATATGAATGTACCTTTTTCCTTCACATCTTACCCACATTTATTGTTGCTTGTATTCTTGATAATTGCTGTTCTGTGACTGGAGTGTGAAATAGAACTCTATAATTTTGATTTGGCATTTCTGTAATTACTAGAGATGTTGAACATTTTTTCATTTATTTATTGATCAATTTTATTTTTGAAGTGCCTGTCCTTCTATAGATGCTTGCAGCATCAGCTGCTGCTAGTAGATTATGGTATTCCTTTGTGGCAAGAGAAAAAACTGGCATCTCTGTGTTAATCCGAAGAATTATTGTTCTATAATTGTCTTGGTCTGCAGAATCCAAAAGACTTAACATCTTACCAAACAAACTGTGCTCTAAATTTAAAAATAAAGAACTGGGGCTGAGGTTGTAGCTCATGGGTAGAGAGCGCTTGCTGGCATGCACGAAGCCCTGGATTCAGTCCTTGGTGTTTCAAAAAGTGGGGAGTGAATTCTAAAAAAGTTTAATGAGTTTTAAAAATAGAGAACCAAAGTGGTAGTGGAAGCAGATCTACCTAATTTCTATCCATATTCTACCTGCACACTCATCCTTGGTGCCTGTCCTCCCCTCCAGTGAAAGGAATCTGTCCAAGCTGTTCTTGCAGAGGGCATCATAATGCTGCAGTAGAGCTGGTATCTGGACCCTTTGGGTTTCTTTTCCTGGTGATTCTTAATGATTACCTCTGGAAGGGAGTATACTGTTCATTAGAGATGGTTATCTCAGGTTAGTCATTTACCTGAAATTAAACTCGGTTTCCTCACCATTTGAATAGGAAACATCTGGTAAGTTAAAAATAAGTAGTAATTTCATTCTTAGTTTGTCATGAGTGTCCCTTGACTTGAATGTCCCCATAAAAGCATGTAGTTCCATATATGAAGGGGATGCACATTTCAAGTCTTTTTTGTTTACACTTAGTATAATTTTAGTGATCAGTTTTCTACTCCTCAAAGTAACCTGTGATCAATGAACTCACTTATTTTTTACCACACAGAAAATGATTATATTTAACTAGTTCTTTTTTTTCCAAGTATTGAAAAGAATGAGAAAGGAAATGAAGGTTGTGCTTTGACTCTCTATGTAGAATAAAAATTGCTTACATTAAAAAATTATATTCACTTAGTAAAAACCCTTAAACTGTACAGGAAAACAAAAGATAGAAAAGTAGGGCTGGGGATGTGGCTCAAGTGGTAATGTGCTCACCTGGCATGCACAGGGCACTGGGTTTGATCCTCAACACCACATAAAAATAAAATAAAGATATTATGTTCACCTAAAACTAAAAATTAAATAAAAGTATCTTAGCCTTTTGTATCTCTCTTTATAGATAATCTCTTAGAAGTTTGTTTCATTCATATATCATGTTCCAGTAGATTGGCAAAATATGTCTATCCTTTAAAAATTTTTAAGGGGTTATACTAGACAATGTTATTCACTTTACTGTTTTCACCTACTTCTAAGCTTTTCATATTAGCACATGCAGTACTTTGAATTATTTCATATCTAGTATTCATTTTATGGAGGACCCCTGGCTGGTCCCTACCTTGCCCCCTTCTGATAGATTGCTTCCAGGTTTTTCTAACACTGATGCAGTCAATGTTGTGCATATAGTCTCATTGACTTTGACTTTCATATGTGTCTGGTGGTAGACTTTCTGCTGGGTAGAGGTAGGTACTGGTCAAAAGTGTTATGCCCTTGGACTTCTTTAAAGTGACACTGCCATATAGCCTCCGTAGAGGTTGAACATGTGTCTTGTTTCTGCTAAGAGAATGTAGGGTGTGCCTCTTCCTGCCACTGCCCACCCCCTGAGCTGTTTAACAGGTCGTTCTTAAAGATGCACTTCTTTTTTACAGTCTGGAGTAAAAGCACACCACCTGCTCCAGATAATGGGACTTCGGCTTGGGGTGAACCGAATGAAAGCAGTCCTGGGTGGGGAGAGATGGACGATGCAGGAGCATCGACCTCGGGCTGGGGGAGCACACCTGCCAATGCTTCCAATGCCATGAAACCCAGTAAGTAGACCGCAGTTTTAAATTTGAGATATTCTTTATTAATGTGGAAGTCAGACATTTTCGTGAGGAGTGTTTAATGTTTTTAAATTGTTGTTTCAGTACCTTGAACACTAAATAGTATCAAATGGTAATTGGTCTTGGGATATGTTAAAGTGTTTACTAGAAGTCATAAATTAATATTGTTTTCTTTTTCTTTTTCTTTTTTTTTTTTTTTTGGTGGTGGTGCTGGGAATTGAACCCAGGGCTTTGTGCATGCAAGGCAAGCATTCTACCAACTGAGCTATACTCCCAGCCCAATTGATTTTGTTTTTGTTTTAAACATTTATTTTTTTAGTTGTAGGTGGACACAATACTTTTATTTTATGTGGTGCTGAGGATCGAACTCACTGCCTCACATATGAGGGGCAAGTGCTCTACCACTGAGCTGTAGCCCAGCCCTTGTTGATTTTTATTTTTTTAAAGCTAGATTTGGTATCTGGTCAGAACTTTGATTTTGATGTAATGCATTTTTACCCAGTAACCTAAACATGTTGTTTTATCCATTTTGCAAATCTACTCTTTTGTTAATATAATTTAAAGAGTACCCTGACTTTCTTCGGGGGAGAGGGGTGGATTCTGAGGATTGAACCTAGAATTGCTGGCACCAAGGTATACACACACCCTTTTTATTTATTTATTTACTTTTATATTGTGACAGTGTCTCACCAGGATGCTAAGGCTGGCCTCAAAAGAGCTCCTTGGCTTCTAATGTAGAACCTCGTCTTTGCCAGGGACTTCGTCCGTCTGTACTTTTTCTATTTTCATTCATCCACCCATGTTTGAACACTTACAGGTTTTTTTAACCTGACAAAGATTCCTTCATTCCAATTTTTAAATGAAGAACATCCTACTTACTCATAATTGTTGAAAATGGAAAACTATACTTGCTCCAGCTGGCACCATAATTTTGGGAAACTTTGTAGACTCATGCTATGGAATGTCTCATTGGATATTCCTAAATTAAAAAAATAAAATTTTGAATGTCCATTTTCACTTCTTTGTATCTTTCTTAAAAGAGCTTTAACATTTCTTTTCTAAAACATAGCAGATTTGTTTTTTTTTTAATTAAAAAAATTAATTTTATGGAATGCTCAGACTTTGAAGAAGAGAAAAGATTCTGTGGTTAAGTTTATCCTATGATAATTAAGACTTTTACAGTGCCTTGAAAAGAATATTATTAGTTTTATTCTAGAAATTCACATTTGTGCCTAAATAACTACTTGCCAGGCATGGCAATGTATGCCTGTAATCCCAGCAACTTGGGAGGTAGGAAGCTGGCAAGTTCAAGGCCAGCCTCAGCAACTTACCAAGACCCTGTCACAAAATAAAAAGGGCCGTGTATGTGGCTCAAGGGCACAGCGTACCTGAGCTCAATCTCTGTTGCTACAAAAACAAAAGCAAAGATCTCCCGAATCTCCTCAGCTTCATAGATATCCCAAACTTTGTGAAGACTTTGTTCTCCTGTTTTAAATTATGAGGTCAGTTGTCGTCGTGGGATATGTCACCCCATAGACTTGAAATAGATCCACATTGCTTACCAGACCCTCAACACAGACCTTTCAACAGGACCTTCAGGATTTTTTAGTGATTTTCCAATCTTAAGAATCCCTTTATTCCATCACAAACCTTCTTTTTCCATGTTCTGTAATATCTTCTTCTCAGGAGCATCTGTAGTTACAGTTCATGTCCTCTTACTGGGTGATTTGAATGTGCAGTGCACAGAGGGAGAGTTAGAGCCTCCAGGTGATGCTAGTAGTTCATCTGTGATTTCTCTAGCCTCTGGATGCCTTAAGTTTGATATTATAAGTTCTGTTATTTAAAATCAGAGCCCCATCCCGTTGGTGCTGGAGATGGAACCCAGGGCCTGCTGCATGCTAATTACTGTAGCCCTGAGCTGCACCCCAGCTCTCCTTACTTATATGCACTCCCCCTTTTTTTCTAAGAAATATTATTTATTTATTTATTTTTAATTTTTTTTTTTTTAAAGAGAGAGTGAGAGAGGAGAGAGAGAGAGAGAATTTTTAATATTTATTTTTCAATTCTCGGCTGACACAACATCTTTGTTGGTATGTGGTGCTGAGGATCGAACCCGGGTCGCACGCATGCCAGGCGAGCGCGCTACCACTTGAGCATCCCCAGCCCCCGAGAAGAAATATTATTTTTTAAAGCATTCTTTTAAAACATGCTATGGAATATCTTGTTAAAAGTTAAGCTCTTTTCTCTAAAAGAAGAGTTCACCTGTGGTTTTTTTTTTTTTTTTTTGGTACTGGGAATTGAACCCCAGTACTCAACCACTGAGCCACATCCCCAGCTCCTTTTATATTTTCTTTAGAGACAGGGTCTCACTAAGTTGCTGAGGCTGGCTTTGAACTTTCAATCCTCCTACCTCAGCTTCCCCAGCCACTGGGATTACAGGCGTGCATCACTACATAGGGCGGGCAGTGTATTTTTTACATTTAGATTCTGACTGCTTGACAGTATGTGGTATGAAGCCTGTGTTTATATGGTATAATCCATAATATAAATGTAATGCAGGATTATGTAAATTAATAACACAGTTCTGGTTATCACTGAATGACCAGCAGCAGGCCTGCCTCTTGCTACCCTGACAGAAAACCCCTTTGGCGTTCACCTGGGCCTCCTGGGGGCATGAAATGCTGCAGTTAGAAGAAATCAACTGTCTAGCTGTCATGGGCCTGGCCCCAGGGGATGGCAGTAGTCATTTGAAGAAGGAACTAGAAGAGTCAGTTTTTGGCTCTACACTTCACATGAAGCTAAGTGCACAAAAGATGTAGGTGAAATCTAAATAGGCTAATCTAATTGCATACAGTATTTTTAGAGGGAGATTAAGGTTTTAATCTCAATCTTCAAGTTAAAGATCTTGTTTAAAGGGGATATCACTTGCCTAGAGTATGTGAGGCCCCGGGTTTAATCCCCAGCAATGAAACACACACACACATACACACACACACACACACACACACGTGTGTAGATGTTGATAGAATAGACAGAATATTGAGGCCCTGTCCTTTTGAACTTCACAGCCCTCTTTGATTTTTCTGTTGTCTTTCTCCCCTTCCCTCTATCCTCCACATTCCACATTTTATACCTCCTTTTTGGGGAGGACAGGTTAGGGGGTTACTGGGAATTGAACCTAGGGGTACTTTATCCCCAGCCCTTGCTAAGTTGCTGAGAGTCTTGATAAGTTGTTGAGGCTGGTTTCAAACTTACAATCCTCCTAATTCAGCCTCTGGAGTCACTGGAATTACAGGCATGTGCCACCATGCCCGGCTACATACATAATTTTTTGGTTGTTACAAACACCTGATTCATTTTTTTTTCTTAAAAGATTCCAAATCTATGCAAGATGGCTGGGGGGAGAGTGATGGGCCAGTCACAGGAACTCGCCATCCCAGCTGGGAAGAGGAGGATGATGGAGGAGTCTGGAACACCACCGGCTCTCAGGGAAGTGCGTCCTCCCACAACTCCGCAAGCTGGGGACAAGGAGGAAAGAAACAAATGAAGGTAGTCCTTCAGAAATATTTGCGCTTGCTTACTCATTCTTAGAAGGCAGAAGAATGCAGAACTGAGAATGTGTTAATGGAAGGAGTGAGGGAACTAAAGTCTCAGAGGTCTTAAGTAAGGGGAAATATTTCCTTAAAAACCGGTAACTGTTTCCTATTTATCCCTGTTCTTCTTCCCTGACCTTGAAACCTTGCACTATAGAACTGTTGCTGTGGGTACAAAGAAGTTTGCTAAGATGCAAGGTCATCTTCCATTTTTGGTTTCCCCATAATAACAATGTGTTGGAAACTCTCCAAGCATGTCTTAAAAATATTTTATGCATTGACATTAAAAAGCCAAAGAAGTTCTTAAGTGCAACGGAGATATACAAGAGAAACTCAAGCAAGATAATACTGGCTTCTCCAGGCAGTCTTGTTGTAGTTTTACCTGACTGGGGAAAGCCCAAAGCCCAGAACCTCCCTTCTAATCAAAGTATCATTGTGTGCTCTTGTTATATAGCAACTAGGTGATTTCTCTACATCCTGTACCAGGCTGACTTCTAAACTTTTCACTTTCCGTATCTTATAACAACTTAATTTCTCCTTGGATTTGCATAGTTTAATGAGGTTGTTTGTTTATTTGCAGTGCTGTTTGGAGCCCAGGGCCCTGTGCATGCTAGACAAGCACTCTACCACTCAGTTGTTCAGTTGTACCCCTAGCTCTAGGGCTTTGGTTTTTAATCTAGAGCAATAGTCTTTTCACCTAAACTATTGCCTTGGCAGTAGGGTTCTCCTTTTTTTTTTCTCTACACACACGAAAAATGACAGAAATAAGCATATACTGATTTTCAGTCTGAGAGCACTGTTGTCCTGTGAAACACTTCACAGTTAATATTCTCCCAGGTTTCAAACACCTGATGCTATCTTAGAAGACCTTCTGGTAGCCTTTATCCCTTTGCCTATGAAATATTGATTTAGTTAAATACCTTGAGTTTCTTCTGTAGCAGGAGAAGACAGTTTGTTTCTTTTGGAGACATTTTATTCATACAATTCCTTAATGTTTTCCCTTTTTAAATGACTTTTATTTCCTACTCCCATCACAAAAGAAATTATTTGGTAATCTTTTCAGCATCTTTATACCTTTATGTTCTCTAGTCTGCTTTGGCAGTGTTTTGGTCATTAACAGATGACCAAAAGGAGAATTCGTCTTAGAACCCTAACCCTGACCCTAACCCTAATCCTAATGAATGCCCTACTCGGGTGACAACCAAGATTTATTTTATTGAGTTAAATGGAAGTTGGGTGCTTCAGCTCCTATGCCAGTGATTCTGAGACTTTCATTCTGAGGACCTTTTTTGAAAAATTGTGGTAAAGTACACATAACATTTATCATCTTAACCATTTTAAGTGTGCAGTTCAGTGGCATTAATTATGTTCATGCCATTGGGCTACCATCAAAACAACATTGTTTTTATCTTACAAAACTAAAACCTTTCACCTGTTAAAAAACAACTTCAGGGCTGGGGTTGTCGCTCAGTGGTAGAGTGCTTGCTTGCCTAGCATATGTGAGGCACTAGGTTCAGTCCCTGGCACCATATAGAAATAAACAAATAAAATAAAGGTATTGTGTCCATCTACAACTAAAAGAAAAAAATTAAAAAAAAAAAAATAATAACTTCCCCCTTTCCCTCCAGGGAGGACTTTTGGACCTCAAAATCTATAAATATGACAAATATCACAACACATAATTTTTACCTATAGAGCACACTATTAGTATTAATTATATTAATATAAACTATTTTAGTTAGTTTTTGGTCACTGTAACTAAAATACATGATAAGAACAACTCAGTGGAAGAAAGTTTATTTTGGCTTACGGTTTTAGAGTCTCCATCCATAGTCAGTCGCCTCCATTCCTGGGCCTGAGGTGAGACAAAGCATCATGGTGGAAGGGTATGGTGGCAGAAAGCTGCCCAGCTCATGGCAACCAGGAAGTGACAACAATGACGAGATGTGATTCCCTAAGGGCACAAGCCCAATGACCTACCTCCTCTAGCCATACCCACCTGTCTCAGATATCCAGTAGTCCATTCAAATTATTACTTCATCAAATGGATTAATCCACTGATGAGGTTACAGCTCCTCTGAATGTTGCTGCATTGTTAACACATGACCTTTGTAGGGGGAAACAGTACTAGATGCAAGCCATAATATGGACTCCATCCTGCCAAATTCCCATCACAGTTCCACCTGTCTTCTTTCCAGAAGTGGAAGTGAGCTGATGACTGGTGCCTTGTTCAGGAGAGTCTTCCTGATCCCATTAACAAACAACTTATTTGCCCAGAAGATAGGTGATGGTGTCTTATACCAGTCCTCTTTCCGACTGCGAACAAATGTCCTTTGTGCTGTGAAATAGATGAGGTACTACATTGTTGTTCTCATTGCATCCACACCTCTGTATGGATGTCCTGTTTAAGTAGGCTCCTTCCAAATGAAAGCTGATGTGCACCATCATCAGCTCTTTATTTTTCCGTAATACAAACCAGCTTGAGTCACAAGAAGAGCAACCCACTGAAAGTGGAAGTGGTAGTGCTCAGAAATCACATTTTATAACTTCTTTACATTTTAAAAAATAAAAGTACCTTGTGTCTCTCTAGTTACTTCTAGTTCGGGGTGATAAGTAGAGAAAGAATGAAAACAGAATGAGATCTTATTAATCATTTAAACTAACATTAAAATACCAAAGTAATTTAGAGAAATAGGGTTCACAGAGTTAAACTATTGGTTCTACGTTTTCAATGTGTACTTTTGCAACCCAGGAGGGGGAGATTAAATTATGCGGTTCTGAGGTTACATATTTCATTTCTGTAGTGCTCACTAAAAGGAGGAAACAATGATTCATGGATGAATCCTCTTGCCAAACAGTTTTCAAATATGGGATTGCTGGTAAGTTTTACTTTTCTCATATGTATAATGTATCCCAAATTTTAGGTTTAGTATGAATTTTAAATCTATTGCCACATTATCATATAATAATACAAATTTAGAAGCTAATTAAGCAGTGTTTTTGATGTTTTGAATTACACTATTTGCTTTCTGTTCTTTTATTCTTAATGATATACTTCAAAATTTAAAGATGAGGGCTTCAATTTGCTATCTTTGTGTCCTTTTCCTTGGGGAAGAAATTGGCAAACAACTTAAGTTCACACAGTTTTCCCTAACACTATTGTGTCAGTTTTTATATTTTAATTTTAAACAGAGAACAACAAAATACCTAGAAAAACTACAGGGATTAATTATGTAGGGAATTCTTGTGGATTTCTTGTTTCCTTATTTCTTAAGAACATTGTGGGGACACCTGACCTGATTGCCAACAGATAAATGACTTGGCTACACCTTTTCAGACGTGGTGACTTGACGAGTCACGAGAAGAAGTCGTCATCTTTTGGCTGCCACTCATGGAATTTGATCCTGGGCTGACTGGAACTTGAGGACGGGTTTATTTCTCCCTGCAGCTGTCTAGCCATTTCTCTGTCCATAGGTGTAGGAGGCTAATCATATGTGAAAATTGAATTTTAAGAATTTCAGATACTAGCAGCAATCAAATTAGCATGTTAAAATGTTAAGGTCTTCGTTCCAGTGTAAAGTTAATTTTATAGTGCCCCTGATAAGATGTGGCTTTCACATGAATAATGCTACTTCTTCCCTAATTTACATGTGCACCCTTAATTTTCTCTCATCTGTTTTTAATTTGAATTTTCAGAGTCAAACTGAAGATAATCCAGGCAGCAAAATGGATTTGTCTGTAGGTGTGTATCAGTTCACCAAGGATTGGAATGTACTGGTGTTAATGATGTGCCACTGGGATCTCCTGCCGTGTTAACTTGGGATGGGGCAGTTCAATGGACATTTATTAAATGCTTACTCTGTATAAGATACCACATAAAACACTAGGTAGAAGTTGAAAACTCACATGGCAAGAGCAGGAACAAATGTAAAGAAGTGATGTGTGCCCCCTATAAGAAAATAGGACATGGTAGTTGTCAGTTAACCGCAGAGGGAGAGTCTACCTAAAAATCAGCCTTGCTCTTCATTCCAAGCATTGGTGTTATAGAGGACTGCAGGCTGGGTTGTGCCACATCTTCCCAGTTTTTTCAAGAGAGGTAACAATATCCTGATATCTGTGGTGCTGCTAGACTTGGGCCTCAGTTGCTGTTTTCATTACTAACATACTCTTCCATTGCAGTTTGAGAGCTTATAGTGTCAGCCCTATCTGAAAATCTGTGGGATTTTCTTAGTAATGCTATTATTCACCCTGAGGAACTTAAACTAAGACAAAAAGAAAACAATCCTGGGTAGTAAGGGAAGTATGTAGTGTGGAGCTCTGATATATAATAGCAAATTTATAGAGTTATGAGGGGAAAATGGGAGAGATTGGTCCATTTAGGAGATTACATTGTGCAGGTGACAGGGACGCTTTTGACTGTGTGCAGCTCTCAAACTTTAAATTTCAAAGCAACAGCTGGGCCTCTTTGACATTTCCCCCTATAACTGTATTTCACAACTTCATCATTTATCTACCAGATGCTAAAAAAGAAAAAACAGTTTCTCTCACTGAGAAACACAAATTTATGAGCAAGATGTATTCATTAAACACATCAATAACCATCTAAATATTTTCTTAGCCAGATTTGTACTGGGTTAGCCCTAAGGCTCTCTTTCTGTTCTCCCTGGAAGACAAGCTGCAGCAGATACGTGTCTTGTGTCTTGTGTTGCTTCTAGTAAAGAACCCACATGTGTTCTGGGGACAAAACCCAACAGATTATCCCAGTGAGATCTCTCCTGATCTTTTCCCCAAGGAGCAGAAAGAGGTTATACCCAGCACCCCAGAGAGCAAGGTGGGTGGGTCTCTCTTGGTTCTTGAAATTTTCACTCTGTTTATGTCCTTTCAGATAAGAAATTTGATGTGGACAAGCGAGCAATGAATCTCGGGGATTTTAATGATATCATGAGGAAGGATCGATCTGGGTTCCGTCCACCTAATTCCAAAGACATGGGAACCACAGATAGTGGGCCTTATTTTGAGAAGGTGAGTTGAATTCTTTAAGATAATAATTCAAGAGAACTGGTTTGGTTCCCATTGTCAGATTTTGATAACTGATTCTGGACTCAATGAGTAAAGCACAAAACATCACTTGCATTGAAGTGGTGACCTGAGAATAGGTGATTGGGCAGGATCTAGAAAGGTCTGTCTTTAGCATGCGAGTATTGTGACCAAGATCTAGGTTTTGAAATATTCATGAAGTTTGATGGGTAATACACACTCAAAGCATGTAGAGGAAATTTTAGAGATAAATTTATTCTGAATTATTTCCCCCTCTTCTGCTCTGCAACTACAAAATACATTTTGGGTATTGTGCAAATACTTGTATTTCCTAAGGCCTTGCCTTCAGTTTTGAAAGAACTCTTTTTCTTTCCCACTTTCCTAGTAGTTTGTATTTAGTAACAGTGGTGTACTTTTCAAATTCTCAACTATCTGATGGAGTCAAATAATTTTTATCTTTTTTTTTTTTAATTTTTAACATTTCTAAAGGAAAACATTGTTCCTTGTTTCAAAACACCAATTTGCAGTGCTCCTGGTCTTCATAAAGCAGTTAAGACAAAAATGTTTAGATCTGGCACCTTTTTGACATCACTGATGCTGGTCCAGGCAGCAACATACTTCTAAAGAAGATTACCCTGGCTTCTGTTAAAGGAGCCACACAGTGAGAGGAATCAATATTAGATGCAGAAAAAAATAAGTGTCTGGCAACATTTATCTAATGCAGTGGACAGAATGTGAAAAGAAAACTGTTTCAAAGAGCATGATAGATAGTATCTGTTGGGCAGAGTGTGATGGTGATTATCCAGATTATTATCCAGATTCCATCCTGGGTTATTGCTAATACGCTCTCACTTTGTTTATTCCTAGTGTCTCTCTCTTTCCCTTCTTGCATTCTGTTGCTTCACTAACCAACACTCATTGTGATTGGCTAACTCCTACTACCTTTCAGCTGACTTTGCCTTTCTCCAATCAAGATGGGTGCCTTGGGGATGAGGCTCCCTGCTCTCCCTTCTCCCCTTCTCCCAGCTACAAGCTGTCTCCCTCTGGTTCCACACTACCCAACGTCAGCCTTGGAGCAATCGGCACAGGGCTCAACCCCCAAAACTTCGCTGCTAGACAAGTAAGGAGGCCTCTCAAATTTGTAACTGCTTGGCTATGGCCTCGCCTTGGCCCTGGTCTGCAGTTTATTGCATTATTTGTCTGTCTCTGGGAAATTTGTTGATTACTGAATGCACAGAATGATACTAAGTGTAGGTTTTAGATCTTAGATCCCATAGAACCCATCTCTCTCCATGTTTCTCAACATAGATTTTATTTTAAACCTTTTTAAAAATTTGATTTCTCATTTTTGCTCATGAATTCACATTTAATAAGTTAACTAATAACTGATGGGAAAATGTTAATGAGGCCACCGTAAATACCTTATATGATCTAAGTTAGCAATATGTGCTATTTTTAGCATTAGATTGGATAACAAGTAATACTTTGGGGGTCTTTTCAATTTAATATGCCTGCTAATCAAAAAATAACAGCAAAACTAGTAAGATTCTTATTTGAGGGCTACAGCATCCTAAAATGTCATGTCTTTAAGTTTAAAATACAATAATTACCCAAAAGAAGAGCTCTTTCTCAGATGTGGTGGCTTCTTTGGACCTAAACAGCCCCTTGCTAGGTAGGATTGCACCTGGATGTCCTCCAGGGAAGGGAAGGGAAGGGTTGGTAACCTGCTGCCTTCTGGCTCTCTCAGGCCTGAGGGGGCACAGCAGGATTCTTGTCACTCCACAGTCTGTTGTAGTCTGTGGAGAAAGCCAGGAATTTGGAGCAACAGTGTCTTTGCAACAATAACTCTAGCAGGAATCTCACTAGCTACCACTCTGGGAGCCCCCACTATCACTGTGTCCTTTACCCCAGGGTATCATAGGAGGACATTGATTACAGTGTGTAATTATTAGTTGTATTCTGTATGACTATCATATAAACATTGAAGGCTGACATAAAGCAGTTCTTCTTAGACCATAGTCTGGGTGCTCCTAGGCATTTATGTCCAGTTGTTGCCCTGGCACATTTTAAAATGAGGATTATACTGTGTCTATGTGTTCAGATTGGTTATATCTGGACTGGGAATCATAAGTAAATTTTTGTTTTCTTCCTTTATTTTTCACTGTTTTTATGTTTCCACAGAGGATATGGATATATATTACTCTTATATTTTGAGTTGAGATGTGTAAAATTTTCATAATATTCTTGGTTAATGCTGATGATAAATGTGGTCTAAGATTGCATAATTATCAGAAGCCGTTAGTGTATACTCTTGAGCATAATAGACCATCCAAACTAGTTTGGCCCTGGACTTTACGAAAAGATCATTCGTTCCTCCTTGTTTTTGTTGTTTGTGCATTGCTACAAAGTCTGTTGTTGCCCACCTTGGTGCACATGTTCTGTCCAAATAAAGCAGTTTCATTGGACCTGGAGCAGCCCCATGCTCTAGGTCTTCTTAGGCTATCCTCATTCAGAGTTAATTGAATATACTTCATAATTAAAAGTAAAATTCAAGGTTTTTATTTTCCAAGTTACATAAGATTTCAATCAGCTTGCTGCTTTTGTTTTAAATTAATAGATTCTCCTGAGTTGAACACTGGGGTTAAAGCACATATTACCAATTATTATGAGGACTCCAGTTGTCTTTGAAGCCTCACATACAACAGTCAAAACTTGAGTGATAGCCAGATAAAGCAATGTTAGCATACATACAAGATTTGGAATACTGTTGTCTTAATTTCTAAATTTAATTTTTTAAAAGGCCAGATAAATAGGATTTCCCTAATACTGTGTACAACAGCAAATCCAAGCCAAGAAAATAAGCACTGTGGTGCCAAGATTCCTTATTAAGGTAGAGGGAAGGCATTTTTGATTGACTACTATTTTCCATTTCAGATATATCAATGTTTTATGTATAGCTTTAGAGATCCTTAAACTTTAATGGGAAAGGTAGAGTCTTGTCTCCTGGAAAAAGGAAAGTGGGGGCTTGATTTTACCAAAACTTACAGATACAGATTCTTTTTCCCTTATCAAAGGGAAGGTTGAAATTTAAACTGACCCCAAGCCAGATAGAGTGGCATATGCCTGTAGTCCCAGCTAGTTGGGATTCTCAGGCGGCAGGATTGCTTGAGCACAGGAGTACAAGGCTACCCTCCCTGCACAGCACAGCAAGACCCTGTCTCTAACAGGTCACTCCCAGGGGCTGAGGATATAGCTCAGTGGTAGAATGCATTCATAAAGTCCTGGCAGCACCCTCACCCTGGCAAAACCACCACCACCACCACCACCACCAAAAAACCCTTCATAAAATTGTTTCATTTTTGCCAAAACATGGATTCTGGGAAAGATGATAGCTACCATCCAACAATTGATTGTGAATAAATGATATTTAGTGGCAAGGTAATTACTTTGAGAGTAAAATATGAGAATGATCATAGCACACTATTCTTGGTGAGATAATATTCTCAGGGATGATTGGTAGCCAAGCTGTCATCTGAGAAAAGTTAAAGCCGATGTGTTTAACCTTAAAGTGACAGTTTAGTGAGTAATCAGGAGGAGTGGAAATATTAGAGCTTCTAGAATTTTTTTTTAATATTTATTTTTTAGTTGTAGTTGGACACATTACCTTCGCTTTATTTATTTTTATGTGGTGCTAAGGAATGAAGCCAGGTCCTTGCATATGCTAGGCGAGTGCTCTACCGCTGAGCCACAACCCTAGCCCAAAGCTTCTGGAACTTTTTGGAAACAAAATTTATGGTGGATCTTTGTTTTTTTTTAATGAGACACATAGGTTTTAATTGCCATTTCTACTTTATTTTTATGATCATTCTTATTTTCAGTGCTTTTAAGTTCATTAATTTACCTGTAGCAGTCCCTTAATCTGTTCTTGAATCATTAAATCATCAAAGTATCTTTAGTGTTCTAGAACTTAATGATTCTATTGCAAAATTCTTGAAAATTGCCTTATCCCTGTGGTAAGCTAAAGGTGGGGACTTTAGTTCAGAGTTTGTACACTCAGCATAAGCTGTGCAAGCAGTGGTGCCTCTTTCTTTGCTGAAGATAATCAGTGGGATAAATTAGTGGTTCATGGATGTTTGCAAATGATGTATGCAACCTACAGACCAGGGCTTTATTGAGTTCTGGGAATGCAAAGAGGGAAGGATTAAGTTGGTGGTAGAAAGACAGAATGGAAAAATAATTGTTTTAACACAGTTTGTTAAGTGGTGTCATCAAAGTTTCAGTGTTTGTTAATCTAGAGGTGAGCTCAGTTGCTTTACCTGTGGAATGAGGAAAGTCTTGGGAAAGCCATCCTTGACAAGGATGACCTTCTGATTTGCATCTTGAGGGGGCCAAGTGAAGATGGGGTAGAGAAGAATCTCAGGCAGAGGAATAATGTCAGGTTATAAAACACTGTTTTTTTGCTGAAGGACTTTCCTTTAGCTAAAAACAAGTTAGAAAGGCACAGTGCAGCTGTCTCTAGCTGTCATTGTAACAGGGGAGATGTGCTTGGGGAGGTGTCTTCCAAAAACCAGGGAACTGAACTGATTTTTAACTAGACTTGAAATTTATACATTTGAATGAGAAGTTACAGGTGAGTAATGTTTGCTTGGTATCCCTAGAATGATTTTTACTTTTCCCCTTTCTTTCTTTTTGATCTCACTGTGTGATTAACGTTTCCTCATCTAGCAAAGAAGGGGTGGAGCAGATCCAGGACAGGGAAGGGCCTTTGGAGATTTGAGCATGTCCTCGTGGCACTCAGCTTACTGTATTACATGGCAGCAATTATGTGGTTCAGCAATTCAGAGAAGAGGAATCATGGTGTGATTTTTACAACTGATAACTACTAATAAGCGTGTCTTTCTATTCTGGTGTCTTTTAAGATGGATCTCAGATTATAAGGTTTGAGAATAAATTGGGTAATCTGACTCTTTAAAAATTAAGTAATTTAATCTTATATTGCCTGTACCTTTCAATAAAAGAATGTAGTGCTGCTTCCAGCACTTGGCTCAATTTGGCCCTTCAGTTTGTGTTGTTTCTCATCCTGCACAGATGGTGACTGGTTTGCTCATAACTTGATTTGAGTAATGTTGCCCACCCAGCACTCCCCAATGAGTGTGAGTCCATGGGGCACAGATCATGATTCTTTTTGAGAGGTAGAAGCCTGAACTGCTTCTTACTTGCGTTTTCTCATGTTAATAAAAAGCCTTACTGGTGCTGTTCTGTCCCTAGGGCGGCAATCACGGTTTATTTGGAAACAGCACAGCACAATCGAGAGGCCTGCACACACCAGTGCAGCCGCTGAGTTCTTCTCCTAGTCTCCGGGCGCAAGTGCCTCCCCAGTTTATCTCCCCCCAGGTGAGCAACTTTGGTTCACAGTTCAAAATCAAAAACTGTTCTTAACAGTTATTACTAGTTATTAATAAACTGGTTTGTGATTGTAAAAGGAATAAAATAGTTGCCAGTCAAAATGGGGAAAATCCACATGCTGGAGCTGGGTTCAAGATTTTGGGGACAATATATCAAACCTCCTTTTTATAGCATCATGCATATGAACAAAGTAGGTGGTTTTGCATGAGAAGTTGTTGTTGTTTTTTGTTTTTGTTTTTTTTTTTTTTTTGAATTTTTTTTAATATTTATTTTTTTTTTAGTTTTTGGTGGACATGACATCTTTGTTTGTATGTGATGCTGAGGATCGAACCCGGGTCTCATGCACGCCAGGCGAGCACACTACCGCTTGAGCCACATCCCCAGCCCCGAGAAGTATTTTTTTTTTAATTTTATATTTTTTTAATTGTAGTTGGACACATTACCTTTATTTTCATTTATTTTTATGTGGTGTTGAGGATCGAACCCAGGGCCTTACATGTGCCAGATGAGCACTCTACCACTGAGCCACAACCCCCGCCTGAGAAGTATTATTATTCCTTTTGAATCTTCTAATTTTCTAATGAAATCACATGTAACTAAAACTACTTAATGAATTCTGACGTAACAACCTTCAGAAGCTGGTTGCCCTCAAGGGTTCAGCTTTAGATAAACAGAAGCACTGTCAGACTGCTGGGTTTTTCTTAGGAATTTTGAGGAACCATATTCCAAAAATCTATGTAGATGCTCAGGGTGGGGGAGTTCTAGAACTGATGAAGAGGCAGAAATTCCTGGGCTAAAATCTAACTCATCGAGTAGCTCTGTGTAAGGTACAGTCATTTGGATACCATAGGAAGTCTGCAGGTCTATTTCTTCATGGGAGCTATGCAATTTGGTTTTGGGGAAAAGAGGAATGTAGGTGAGGGATTTGTGTCAGTCTCCCACACACTCCTCTGATGGTAAAATCACTAGCAGATAGTCAGTCTGATAAATGTCATATAGCAATGTTTAATGGTGTTTGGGGAATCTGGTGAGACTTCGCACTATCAGTGACATTTAAAATGAATCTTGAAGAATGAGTCAGTTTTCTGGGCACAGTCAGATTAAAGAGACCTTCCAGGCTACAGGAGCCTTTGTGCAAAGGGACATGATATCCAGTACAATGTAGCATGTTTGGGGAAGTGCAGTTTGTTTGAATAATTAGTTTAAGCTGGTTGAAGCATATGTATACTCATGCATGCTATCTAGAATAGAATAAGAAGAAACTAGACAGAGAATTTGGGACAAAATTTGGCAAAATTTAGTTTGCCTTTTTCAGGTATTTGGCCCTTGTCGTATAGGCCAACCCTTGTCATTGTCAGCCTGGTTTATAATCAATATCTGGGCTGCTATTTTTGCCTATCTTGGGCTTTGGGGCCTGGTTACCTCCAAGTGATGTATATGTGCACCCTAAATTTTGACTTTTGCTGTTATAGATAATGTAGGGTGGAGGAGGGTTTTCCAGGTGAAAAATATTGTGGGCGTGTTCTGTATTGGCTCTGTATCTAAATCTCCTCTCTTTTACAAGTTCCTCCTCACTTTCCCAATATTTAATTATCAGAATGTCTGATCCTCAGTTCTCCAACCTCTTCTGCTCACCATCTATAGCTACCACTAGGTGATGTCACACAGTGGAATCACTTGAAATACTGAGTACCAAAATTGTGTCTACAGCTCACTTCTTTTTTCTCAACTCCAGGGATGGCTTGCATCACCAGTGGGATGCTTACCAGTACTTCACATTAACACATCCAAACAGAACTTCCAATCCTACCCTAGATACCATTCAAAAATTTCCTCATCTTCCAAGTAAATGGGCACCAATTCTGCAAGTATTCAGGCCAAAGACCTTAGAGCTAGTCATCAAGGGGTCACATTTAGTTCATTACAGATCTCCCCTTAAGAACTTTATCCAGATTCTGACTGTTCTTACCTTCTCCATTGATAGGGCCCCTGATGAGGCCACCACCATTCCTCTCCTAGATTATTGCAAGGGCATCCTGCCTGCCACCTTGCTTCATTCCTGTCTTGCTTTCTCCAGTCTAAGTCACACAGGGCTCTAGCTGGAGATGGAGCTTGGAGGTAGAACACTTGCCTACCATAAATAAGGTCCTGGGTTCAGTGCCCTGCACCACAAAAAAGTAAATCAAACACTGGCATCCCATTTCCTTTTCCTCTTTCTCCCGTAATGCTGGGGATTAAACCCTGGGCCTCACACATGCTAGGGAAGTGTTCTACTATGAGCTATATTCCTAGCCTTTTTAATTTGTATTTGGAGACGGGGCCTTGTTAAATTGCCTTGACCTTGAATGTATAATCTTCCTGCCTTAGTCTCCCAAGTTGCTGGGCTACATACATTGTGCCACCTCCAGGGCTTTCCTTGAACTTCACAGACCCTGCCGCTGAGCCACACTCTCATGTTGATCAGTCTTAATGATATTTCATCAGGTACATTTACCTTTATTTACTTAATACTCTTCCCCCAATATTGAATATTAAATTGTTTCTAATTTTTCATTATTATAAGTAATACTGCAGAGAAATCTTTATATAAGAAACTTTGCCCAGAGTGATGTTTTGGGATCAAAGTGCACGGACATTTTTCGAAGTTTTGATAAATATCAAATTCTATATCCATTTTGACCACTTCATAGGGGAAGCCAATATTTAATGTAAGCATGCACAGCAGACACTCAAAACTCATCTTTAAATTTGTTGCAGTGCTGAGGATGAGCTCAGTCAGTGGTATAGCACTGGCCTATCTTGTGTGAGGCCCTCCGAGGGGGCCCCAATACCACAAAACAACCAACTAATGATTTGTTACCAGTATTCCAGCCCTCATTGTTTCTACTGTTGTCATTTTCCTCCAGTCACTCAAATATGCAGAAAGTAACATTCTAGCAGGCTTTTGTCTTACCTTTAAATTTTGCACCTGCAGTGCTTGGTTAAATGTCACGTTGATTGCAACAAGAGCTTTACTTTCACCAGCCCAGCTGGAGATTGAAGGGCTTTTAAAACAGAGTAATTATCTCCCTGCAATGGGAATGTGCAAACCTGCACTTTAATTACTCTGCAACCCAGGTATGAACAGTCATTTGCCAGGAACTTAGTGATGCTGCTCTCAGTTCATGGGTAATTCTTTGGAGGGATATGGCACATCTGCAACCTGTAGAAGGGAGTAGTTGAGCAAGGCTAGATAGGAAGTCCTCAAAAGTGTCACTAGTCCCCAGAGTCATCAGTGGTACTAGTTGAATATAAGCATGCCCCATGTTAGCATATTTATCCTTTTCTTTAGTCTTTCTGTAACTATCATTAAACATTGTCTTGTTTCAACTTGCCTTTTTTGTACTTTAATTGTATAGTATATAGGCCCCTCCCTTATTTTTTTTCTGTCTTGTTCCCCTGCCTTAGTTTTTTTTTTTTTTTTTAAGACCTGTATTTTATTTATTTACTTTTTTATGTGGTGCTGAGGTTTGAAACCAGTGCCTCACACTTGCTACCAGGCACTGGTACAACACCAGCCCACCCCTTATTTTTACTTGACATTATTTGTAAGGTTTTCCCATGTTCTTTTGATTAATTATGGTTTGTATAATATTCCATGATAAGAGTATAATATAATTTGTTAATCTTTCTACTACTGACTACTGTTGGTAGACATTTGGGTTGTTTATAGATGTTTGTTATTAGGAACAGTGCTTGTGTGAAAATCCCACCTCTCCAACCCCGTGGAACAAGGGATTAAACCCAGGAGTACTATACTGCTGAGCCATATCCCCAGTCCTTTTTTATTTTGAGACAGAGTCTCACTAAGTTGCTGAGATGGGCCTCAAACATGCTGTCCTCCTGCCTCAGCCTCCTGAGTTGCTGGGATTATAAGTGTGTACCACCATGCCTTATAACTGCTGTGAATATTCTTAGATTTATCTTCTAGAATGTGTTTCTTTAGGATATGTACTTTGAATGGTGCTAATTTTGAGTAAAAGGAATGGTGGTGTGGGGGATACTTGGCTCTGGGCCAAAGAGTTAATCAGAGTCCAGCTGATTTCTTCAGTGGAGCTGCTTAAACCAAAGGAAAGGAAAATGAAAGTTCAGACAAGCACCATTTATTTTGAAGGCCAGAAGTTTGAAAAACAAACCAAGTAGACGAGAGCTCCTACAAATCATAGTACTTGGAAGGAATTTGGAAATAATATGATAGATTACAAATTTTAAATTTTTCAATAGCCACATTTAAAAACAAAGAGAAACCTGCAGGATTTTAGTAATATATATTCTTTAACACTGTATATCCAGAATTATCATTTTCTCATGTAATTGATGGCTAATATTATTATTGAAATTTTTGCTCCCTCCCATTCTTTGAAATCTGATGTGTATTTTACACTTAAAAATAAGTCTCAGTTTAGACTCTTATGTCTCATGTGCTCATTAGCCATAGGAAATAGTGAATGTATTGGGCCACAGAGGTCGAGAAAATTGTACCAGTACTATATTCATTTCCTAGGGCCAGCACAACACATTACTACCAATGAAATGGCTTAAAACAATAGAAGTATATTCTTGGCTACTTTTGGAGACTTCGGATCTGAAACCAAGGTGATATCACAGTTGGCTCTTGCTGGAGACTCTGAGGGAAGAAAGTCTGTCCTGGTGCCTCTCTCCTAGCTTCTGGGAGTTACTGGCACTCCTGTGTCCCTTAGCTTGTAGACATCATCATCTCTGTCTCCATATTCACATGGTCTTCTCTCCCCAGCTATCTCTATATTTTATATGGCTTTCTCTACCTACCCCCCCACCTCCCAAATCCAGAGTCCCCTCTTCTTATAAGTACACTAGTTACTGTATTATAGTCCACCCTCATCTTATAGCCTTTGCTAAACTTGATTACATCTATAAAGACTTATTTCCAAATAAGGTTACAGCCTAAATTTCCAAATGAACATGAATTT